AAAATAAATAACCCTGAACACAGAATAATGATGAATTAACCTAACGACAATCGAAGATTCACACAAAATCTCACATTTTTTTATAGATCTGGTGGGTTTATGCGCAAGTTATTCTTAGGTTATTGTTGGGTTATTCTCGGGTTATTGAGTTTTTCTTTAATCAATCCGAAAATAAATAACCCTGAACACAGAATAATGATGAATTAACCTAACGACAATCGAAGATTCACACAAAATCTCACTTTTTTTATAAATTTGGTGGTTTATGCACAGGTTATTCTTAGGTCATTGTTGGATTATTCTCGGGTTATTGAGTTTTTCTTCAATCAACCCGAAAATAAATAACCCTAAACACAGAATAATGATGAAATAACCTAACGACAATCGAAGATTCACACAAAATCTCACTTTTTTTATAAATTTGGTGGTTTATGCACAGGTTATTCTTAGGTCATTGTTGGATTATTCTCGGGTTATTGAGTTTTTCTTCAATCAACCCGAAAATAAATAACCCTAAACACAGAATAATGATGAAATAACCTAACGACAATCGAAGATTCACACAAAATCTCACTTTTTTTATAAATTTGGTGGTTTATGCACAGGTTATTCTTAGGTCATTGTTGGATTATTCTCGGGTTATTGAGTTTTTCTTCAATCAACCCGAAAATAAATAACCCTAAACACAGAATAATGATGAAATAACCTAACGACAATCGAAGATTCACACAAAATCTCACTTTTTTTATAAATTTGGTGGTTTATGCACAGGTTATTCTTAGGTCATTGTTGGGTTATTCTCGGGTTATTGAGTTTTTCTTCAATCAACCCGAAAATAAATAACCAACCCTTTTTGTAAACTTCTTTTCTACTGAATAATGCAGAATATAAGTTTCTGAGGGAATAATATGCCAAAAATAGGCGGGAACACGCCAAAAAGGCGGGATTATACATAACATTTAGCACGTCGGGTTGGATCGGGCTTAACGCGACCCACAAGACCAGATGACGTGTTTTGCTTGAAATGCGGACGTAGGGCACCCTACGGGGACCTGAGGGAAAAATTCGGCCTATACTAGAGGGTTTTTTAGGTACAACAAGGTTGTACACCATGATTTTCATATCATATATCTATTTAATTTTTTTTTTGCTCGGTACATTATGATTATACTATATACTTTCTTCGGAACAGTCATATCGTACAATATGGCGGGCCAGGTCGGACTTCAGGTCTATCTGCTTTTTTAAATAATAAAATAATATTAAACTTAAGGCGTAGTGAGAAATATTAAAATTATCTTTAACAAGTCATATTGCGTCACGTGCTGAGTACATAGAGATTACTTCCGGCGACAATTATATATTCAATTTTTTCACGCGGGACGAGTAAAGGTCTATTATTATATATATATATAAATGAAGGGAAATATCACGGGACAAGTTGCGTGCTAGAGTTTCATTATTCCCACTCTTCAAAAGATGTATTTCTTCTTCTTCGTCCTTCTCTTCCTGCATCAATGGCTGCGTTGTCTCTGTGCTGTTAATCATGTCACTCATCTCCCGGGCTTTCATGGCGAACTACCCTTCCATTTAGAGACTGGGTGAGTCTGTCTATATGTATGCATGTGATTAATTTCAAACGAAAGAAATGATGCAAAAAATTGAGAGTATGCATAGATTCCTTCTCTTTGGAAACTAATTGTTTATTTATTTATTTTTTTTATTTTTGCTACTGAGTGTGAAGAATCTGTAAATTCTATGGTTTCTTTTCCTGTTTGCACTTCGCAATTATATGTATGAATTCATGCTCTGTTTTACCCCGAATGGTTTGAGTTCTCCTTCAATTCTACTTTTGTTTCTCGCACTTTAGACTAGCTAAGCCATTTTTTTTTTCTTTTTACTCGAAAGATAGAAGCCATGTTCTCCTGCTGCTTCATTGAGGACATCAAAGAAATAGCATGGTGCACGAACCCTACTTGGAAAGGAAAAAATTTGCGTACGTCAAAGGGTACGCAGAGATGTGTACATAATAGGATATATGGGATTTATACGGGGATTACAAGGGGGTTATAACCCGTTGTACCTCCCATGTAACTCTCATGTAACTCCGCTATAACCTTGTAATCTCAATGGATAAAATAAAAACGCGAGTTACAACTGAGTTACACGAAAGTTACAAGGAAGTTATAACATACATTATAACACACTTATAACCTCCATATAACTCTCATATAACCCCCGTGTACCCTATAATCTACACATCTCTGCGTACCCCTTGACGTACGCAAATTTTTTCTCCTTGGAAAAACGTCTTGCCGGCTCCGTCATCGCCGCTGCATGTGACGGCGCTGCGAACACCTGCTTTGGCGCTAACTTCTGCACATGGATTATTTATTAGGAAGGGAGATAGGAGGGGTGAATAAATTGATAAATGAAGATCGAATAGAGCTTATCTGGACACGAAATACGTAAATTATAAAGTAGGTTTGTTTCGACTGCCAACTGCTAGTACGTAAAAATCCGTTTTTTTTCGGTTTTTAAAATCATAGAGCTCTACTTAAAAATAGGCTTCTTTATTTAGGGTTTGATCTTTTTTCTTGCATTTAGTAAAATTTTAAACTATAAAATTTTAATCATTATTCTTATTTTTTATTATGATTAAATTACAGTTTTAGTTTCTTTTTTCTTTTTGTTATCACGTATTTTCGTAATCATTTATGTAGTGTTCCAACTCATAGGTGGCAGGGAAAGGTCCACTTAAGAAAACTATGTACCCAGCTAGGGGTGTAAACGAATCGAACACGAACGAATATAGATCTTTTTATGTTCGGTTTGTTCGAAATTATGTGTGTTCAAAATAGACTCGTGCTCGAAATTGTTCAAAAAGTTAATATTTGTGTTCGGTTCGATTTGTTTTAAATTTAATTCAATATGTTAGAAATTTTTTAATTATTTAAATTATTCGAATTGCTCGAATGACTTGAAATCATTCAAATTTGTTTCAAATTTATTTTTATTGTCTGAATTGTTAGAATAGTAATGAATTTGATTATTAATTCTCAAATTATAAAAATAAAAAAGAAAATAAGATTTTTCTATTTAAAAAATATTATTTCTCCAACCATATTATTAGAAATTGTTAAAAAGAAGTTTCAAATGAAATATAAATTTAAAGTTCAAACTAAATTTTTTTTAAATATATAAATTATAAATCATTATTATATTAAATATATAAATTATATTATATAAATATATAATATTTATGCAACTAATATTAATATATTATCATTATTAATTTATTATATACTATTATTTATAAAATTTATTTTTTAAAATATCATAAATTATATATTATATATATATATTTAAAATTATTTTATATTTCGAACAATAACGATTCGAACACGCGACTGTTCATGTTTGGTTAGTTTATAAACTTAACGTAAAAAAATTGTTCTTGTTCGTCTCATTTATTCATCAAACGAATCGAACACGAACTCTTCGCTGAGTTGAACACAAACTGTTGGCGTAAGAATAGCAGAGTTCTATTTTTTTGGTGATTGTGAATTGTGTTGAAAGCACACATGTTTTCTATATCTACATATCTAAACTTTTATATTTATGTTCATGACATTGATGTTTTAAACTTATGAATAAAAATATGTATATTTTACTCTTAAAAGCTGATAATAGTATTATTATTTATGTGATATGTGTGTAAACTTGAAGTTTAGGTGATATATGCAAATAGGTAAGAAATATGTGCTAGGCATATAAGTGTCCCAATGATAAGTTATTGTTCATATTGTGATAATTATTTTTTAAAATTTTAACATCATAATTATATTGATGAATAATATAGTATAACTTTAATATAAGGTTCTAGCAACATATCTTTAATAATCGAATTAGTTGAAATATTGCCTGCTCTCCTCCTTTGTGACCACTTGAAATAATGATGGTTAAAGATGGTGGAGCGACGCTATTATCGTCCCACATGTTGCGATCGCGATGCCTAGGAACTAATAACAGCACTTAGGCGCCCAATGGACAGCGCCAACTTTCTTTCTACTTGAGATTTTTGCTCAATATAAGAGAGTTCTAGCCAGGTGCTCAATAGCTAAATTTTACTCCAATCTTCAACCTGATCAAGTTCGATTCTCATTCATCTCTTTATATTTCCCTACTACAACCTACAAAAACAGCATAAAACCTTCCTCAAATTGTAATTTTTATCAAATAAAATACAAAAATACAAATATCAACAATTTCAAAACTATCAACATATGAGACGGTATGATCATTACCAACCATAATTGTCTCATGCCCTTGATAGGTTTCAGGTCGATTGACCTGACTATAATCAAAAGTGAGATGGAAAGTGTTAGGTATGGCTTATATACCAGAAAATTTGGAGTATCTTGAAATAAAGATGTGTATCTCATGGAATGAAAAAGAGTGTCTCTTAGTGTGAAGAGGTTTGTCTCTTGAATTAGTGGGTTGGGGGGAGCGAGGGCGTGTTTGTAAATTTATATGTGAGTTTTATCTATAAATAAATGTGTAACCCTATGGGTATGTAACTCCTTTGAAATAGTTAATTTGTCGCTCTGCTCCTGAGGATGTAGGCATTTATGCCGAACCTCGTTAAATCTCTGTGTTCTTCTTCTGGATTTGTGTTGTTTCACCCTAAATTTCACAACAATTGATATCAAAGTTAGGTTCTAGGGTGGAGGATATCGGCGCAGGAAGAATGAGGAAGAAGAAGGTTTTGGTTCGGCGGTTTGCGGCAGTTCCTAGTGCGTTTTCTAAAGATCTGTGTTCGCGGCAGAGCAGATCAGAGTAGCGACACCAAAAGGAGTTCGAGGCCAGACAGTTCTGCTACAATTTAGCCGCATAAAGGTCGGAGGCAAAGGCAAAGGAATTGGTGAACGATTTCGCGGTAGTTCAGACTTCGAGCTTCGGAATTTTTTTGGCTTCGGTAAATTCGGTCGAGGAAGGAGTTCGCGAATAGCTGGCGGGAAGAAGTTCCCGCGGAAGTTCAGTGAATTTGACGGATTTGGTCGGGACGTAGTGCTCGCGAACCAGGCGGCACTTCAGCTTCGCGATCCGTTATCGCGATGTAGAACGAGCGAAGGTGGAGCAGTAGGCACGAAAGGCAGAGACAAATTGGGCTCGCGGGAACGAACAAGTGCGAAGCAGTTTGGATAAAGGGTTGTGGCAGTTCAGTGAGATCTGCTTTGGGAGTTCGCGGTAGAGGTCGGTCAGATAGCAGGTTCGCGCGAGACAGCTGTAGCGATAGCTGGATTTGCGACAGGAGAAATTGTGACGGTTACAGTTCGACCAACGGAGTTCGCAAGTTCGTCGCAGGACGAGTTGGGACAGGGGAGTTGCGATAGGTAGAGTTTGTGAATTTCACGTTTTGTTTGCAGGTTTGTCGCAAGAAAAATTGTAACAGGTGGGGTTCAACTGGTGTTCGTAGTATTTCAGCTGAATTTTTGTGCGAACAGAAAATGTGTTTCGTGTAAAAAATTTGATTCACGAATCACAGGAAACTACGGGAAAATTGCTACAATTGAAAGAGGAAATTTCATGTTTATTTGAATTTATTTGTGGTGTGTTTTGTTTCAATACAAGACAGGAAGAGTTCACTGCATGATTAATTTCAAATGGCAATGTTTGGTGCAAAATTTGAGATAATGAAGTTCGATGAAACAAGAAACTTCGGATTGTGACAAACAAAGGTGAAAGATTTGTTGGCACAACAAGGAATTTTGAAGACATTGCGAGCTATGAAACCTGATGGTAATATCTATAAATTGTTGGGGAGTACAGTTGTAGGTGGAGTTCACTCTGTCGAATCATATGATGAAAATGCAGCAGGAAAGTTGACCAAGCCGGGTATTTTCAGCAAGTTCTTGCGTTACTTGAACTTGTTGAATGTTTGCAGTTGCTAGTTGGCATGGCTGCCCAACCCACTTTGGTGTAAGAAACTCAATGATGTTTTTCTCCTATGGGGCTAAATATTCGCAAGGTGGAGATTTTTCTCCTAAAGGGTTAGATATTTGCCAAGATGGAGAATTGTTAGGTCTGGCTCATATACCAGGAAATTTGGAGTATCTTGAAACGGAGAGGTGTGCCTTCTGGAATGAAAAAGAGTGTCTCTTGGTGTGAAGATGTGTGTCTCTTGGATTATTGGGATGGGGGGAGCGAGGGTGTGCTTGTAAATTTATCTTTGGGTTTTTTTAATAAGTAGATGTGTAACCCTATTGGTATGTAACTCCTCTGAAATAGTGAATTTACCGCTCTGCTCCCGATGATGTAGGAACCTCGTTAAATATTTGTATTCTTCTTCTGGATCTGCGTTGTTTCGTCCTAAATTTCAAACCAGAAAGTTGCCACTGTATCAAGATATCAATTAGACTGGTTGGATGGTAAAGAAGAAGTAATATAGGTTTTATGAGAGTTGGTTTGTGGAGGAGAATAGAAGTTCCTCGGTTGAAAGTAACGATTCAAATGGTGCCAGCAATGAGATGCAAGATGTTCTGATTTGTTACATATTTGATAGGAAACCAAGCCGTGAGCTTTAGAGTGAGGAGTTGGA